AAGCGAAACCGTCGTTCTACCGTCCAGCCCAAGTGGTTGGTTAGGGATTTGGGAACTAAGAGCTGAAGCTTCACACACACACACACACACACACACACACACACACACACACACACACACACACACACACACACACACACACACACACACACACACACACACACGTATACGACTTATGTCAGACCAATCCTGGAATATGCAGCTCCAGCTTGGAGTCCATACTTAGTTAAACACAAGAGAAAGTTAGAGAAGATTCAGCTGTATGCCACCAGACTCATTCCGGAACTGAGAGGTATGAGCTACGAGGAAAGGCTAAAGGAGCTGAAACTCACGTCCCTGGAAGACAGAAGAGTAAGGGGAGACGTGATAACCACCTACAAAATTTTTAGGGGAATTGACAAGGTGGACAAAGACAAACTCTTTAGCACAGGTAGAACACGAACAAGGCGACACAGGTGGAAACTTAGTACCCAAATGAGCCACAGAGACATTAGAAACAACTTTTTCAGTGTCAGAGTAGTTAGTAAATGGAATGCATAAGGCAGGGATGTGGTGGAGGCTGAATTCATGCACAGTTTCAAATGTAGATATGATAGAGCCCAGTAGGCTCAGGAATCTGTACATCAGTTGATTGACGATTGAGAGGCGGGCCGAACGAGCAGATCTCCATCCCCATCCCCGCAAGGACAACTAGGTGTATACAACTAGGTGTATACACACACACACACACACAATCAATACACAACTGGAAATCGTCATGAATCATTAGTGGGAGCAACGAGGCAGGAGAAGGAACGAGATGACTGGAAATAGAGACTATTATTGGGATTACTCAATGCCAGGGATGAGTGCCACCTGCAGTGCGCCAACTGAGGGAGAGAGAGCGGCACTGGCACGCACCGTCGTCAAGTCTTAAACGTCTCAAGGAACACAACAGTTTATATGTTGTGAGAATGACTACACTCATACGAGGCTCCTGCTGCACTACACAGTGTTTACATCCTGCTATTGTTGTTGTTGTTTGGCATCGTTGCTATGACGATGATAATGATACTGACAATAATGACGAAGATGACGAAGATGATAATGATGACGTGGGGGATGATGAAGGAGATGAAGAGGACACTTGTGGGTTACGCTGGAGCCATGTTGGCTCTCCACCAACACCTGGCGCCAGATTCACGAAGCAGTTACGCAAGTACTTACGAACCTGTACATCTTATCTGAATCTTTGGCGACTTTGTTTACAATTATTAGACAGTTAATGAGCTCCGAAGCACCAGGAGGCTGTTTATAACAATAACAACAGTTGATTGGGACGTTTTCATGCTTGTCAACTGTTTAATAAATGTAACCGAAGCCGTCAAAGATTGAGAAAAGATGTACACGTTCGTAAGTACTGGCGTAATTGCTTCGTGAATCTGGCCCCCTGGTTGTTACGCTCGCCTCTACACAAGCCCTTCAGCGCCGCCCCTCAGCGCCGCCCCTCAGCGCCCCCCTTCAGCGCCGCTCCTCAGCGCCGCTCCTCAGCGCCGCTCCTCAGCTATATGTATGTGTGTGAGTGTATGTATATGTATGGGTATAAAGTATATATGGAAGCTGATCAGAATTACATTTCACCTTTGTGAATGTACATTAATGACACTATGTAAAAGACACATCAAACACTTTATGTAGGGCATACGTAAATCTGTGTATCTATGTATTTACGTATGTAGGTTAGCTAAGCATTTTAAAAGCACCGAATCACCTTCTGTGGTTGAGTGTTCAATAAACCCTTGAACTGTATGTTTAACACTTCTCTAACCCTGTCCATGGAGGACAGAAGAAAATGTATATATGATGGTTAGCATTGTAAATGTGTGGCCACGTCTGTGGTAGAAAATAATAATAAAAAAAAAAAAAAAAAAAGCGCCGCTCCTCGCCCCTACAATCGCTCTCCCATACACAGTTACGCCAGTTTAACAACCTTGACGACCGCTGCCCACACTAACAACCTCACCCGTGGTTCCTCCCACCAGTCATAATGGTGAGAATTGAGCTAATGTCTCACTACTGTTGTTTTAGCGTCGTTAAACATCATCGTAAAGTCGACAAATCATGCCGCGGGTCAGTCTAAACGCTTCATTAATGCGGGTTATATTTTGGTGTTATTTAGCACACATTTGTGGTAAACATTTATATGGTACATCCCCCAAACACTGCCTTAATGTAGTATTATAGTTTGGTCACATTTATCATGAGTGATGCACACGCACACACGCACACGCGCACGCACACACACACACACACACGCGCACATGCACATACACACGCACGCACACACACACACACACACACACACACAAACGAGGGAAGGCTTGGGAAGCTAAACCTCACGTCACTGAAAAACAGAAGAGTAAGGGGAGATATGATAACCACCTACAAAATTCTCAGGGGAATTGACAGGGTGGACAAAGACACTCTTTAGCACGGGTGGAACACGAACAAAGGGACACAGGTGGAAACAGAGTACCCAAATGAGCCACAGAGACGTTAGAAAGAACTTTTTCAGTGTCAGTGTAGTTAACGGATGGAATGCATTAGGCAGTGATGTGGTGGAGGCTGACTCCATACACAGTTTAAAATGTAAATATGATAGAGCCCAGTAGGCTCAGGAATCTGTACACCAGTTGATTGACAGTTGAGAGGCGGGACCAAAGAGCCAAAGCTCAACCCCCGCAAGCACAAATAGGTGAGTACAAATAGGTGTACACACACACACACCGAACCTGTCCCCAGAAGCCCACATCAAAAAATATAATTAGTGACATATGCTAGATTCGCCAACATAATAACTGCCTTTACAAACTTGTGTAAGGAATCATTCAGAACCTTGAATACCACCTATGTCAGACCAGTACCATAATATGCAGCTCCAGCCTGGAATCCATACCTAATTCAACACAAGACAAAGTTAGAGAAGACTCAGAGGTATGCCACCAGACTGGTCCCGGAACTGAGGGTATGAGTTACGAGGAAAGACCTCGGGAGCTAAACCTCACGTCCCTGGAAAACAGAGGTGTAAGGGGAAACAAGATCACCACCTACAAAATTTTCAGGGGAATTGACAGGGTTATCTTGAGGTTATCTCGAGATGATTTCGGGGCTTAGCGTCCCCCGAGGCCCGGTTCTCGACCAGGCCTCCTTTTTGTTAGACACCCCCAGGAAGCAGCCCGTAGCAGCTGTCTAACTCCCAGGCACCTATTTACTGCTAGGTGAACAGGTGCATCTGGGTGAAAGGAACTGTGCCCATTTGTTTCCGTCTCCACCGGGGATCGAACCCGGAACCTCAGGACTACGAATCCGAAGCGCTGTCCACTCAGCTGTCAGGCCCCTAATGGACAAAGACAAACTCCTCAGCACGGGTGGAACACGAACAAGGGGACACAGGTGGAAAAACTGCGTACCCAAATGAGTCACAGAGACATTAGAAAGAATTTGTTCAGTGTCAGAGTAGTTAACAAATGGAATCCATTAAGTAGTGATGTGGTGGTGACACGCAAACACGTACACGCATATACACGAGAGAGAGAGAGAGAGAGAGAGAGAGAGAGAGAGAGAGAGAGAGAGAGAGAGAGAGAGAGAGAGAGAGAGAGAGAGAGAGAGAGAGAGAGAGAGAGAGAGAGAGAGAGAGAGAGAGAGGTGTATCTCCACATCTTCCATAGTGTGAGCGTGTAATCGTCCTGTGTATTACAACTTATAACACTCAGAACAGAAAGGTTTAAACGTAGTTTCACATATTTAAATTTACAACATGAATAAACTAAATACTAAATAAAAACAAGAAATAATTAATAATAAACACCAAAATAAGTCATAAACAATATTATAATATGAACACTATACCTGGCGCGACATTGTCACTCACATACTTAACAATTATTACAAGATTGGTATATGGTCAGTTTTGGGTGAGTGATTGGCAGGAGGTGGAGGGTGATGCTAGGCTTTATAGCTAGGTGGTCCACACTCCCGCCCTGCACTCTCGCCCCACACCCCCCCGTCCCACACCCTCGCCCCACACCCTCGCCCCACACCCCCGCCCCACACCCCCCGCTCCACACCCCCGCCCCACACCCCCGCCCCACACCCTCGCTCCACACCCTCGCCCCCACACCCCCGCCCCACACCCCCCGCTCCACACCCTCGCTCCACACCCTCGCTCCACACCCTCGCCCACACCCTCGCTCCACACCCTCGCTCCACACCCTCGCTCCACACCCTCGCTCCACACCCTCGCTCCACACCCTCGCCCCACACCCTCGCTCCACACCCTCGCCCCACACCCTCGCTCCACACCCTCGCTCCACACCCTCGCTCCACACCCTCGCTCCACACCCCCAACAATTACAATTCGTCAACATTTCACGTGTAAAGTGCAGATGTCCGGCGCCAGTCATGTTTGTTGTGTTATTATTGCATTGTGGCACCCTAGGGAACCTGAGGCTGGCTAGTGTCTGAATAGTAACCTATTATCTCTCTCTCTCTCTCTCTCTCTCTCTCTCTCTCTCTCTCTCTCTCTCTCTCTCTCTCTCTCTCTGTCATATTTAGAACTTTACAGTTCCAAATCTGCATCAGACAGAAGGATTTCCTGCGTCTTTAAAACTATTGTTTAACCATTTCCATTGTTTAAAACCTCGTCTTTGATGCTGGGGCTAGTCTTACTGAAGTGTCAGGGGGAAAGCCTCCCACTCGTGTCAGACTACAGGCTTCCAGAAGTGTCTGGGGGGAAGCCTCACCCTCGTGTCAGACTACAGGCTTCCACAAGTGTCTAGGGGGAAGCCTCACCCTCGTGTCAGACTACAGGCTTCCACAAGTGTCTGGGGGGGAAGCCTCACCCTCGTGTCAGACTACAGGCTTCCACAAGTGTCTGGGGGAAGCCTCACACTCGTGTCAGACTACAGGCTTCCACAAGTGTCTGGGGGAAGCCTCACACTCGTGTCAGACTACAGGCTTCCACAAGTGTCTGGGGGAAGCCACACACTCGTGTCAGACTACAGGCTTCCACAAGTGTCTGGGGGGAAGCCTCACCCTCGTGTCAGACTACAGGCTTCCACAAGTGTCTGAGGGGAAGCCTCATACTCGTGTCAGACTACAGGCTTCCACAAGTGTCTGGGGGGAAGCCTCACCCTCGTGTCAGACTACAGGCTTCCACAAGTGTCTGGGGGGAAGCCTCACCCTCGTGTCAGACTACAGGCTTCCACAAGTGTCTGGGGGAAGCCTCGCCCTCGTGTCAGACTACAAGCTTCCACAAGTGTCTGGGGGAAGCCTCGCCCTCGTGTCAGACTACAGGCTTCCACAAGTGTCTGGGGGGAAGCCTCACCCTCGTGTCAGACTACAGGCTTCCACAAGTGTCAGGGGGAAGCCTCACCCTCGTGTCAGACTACAGGCTTCCACAAGTGTCAGGGGGAAGCCTCCCACTCGTGTCAGACTACAAGCTTCCACAAGTGTCTGGGGGAAGCCTCCCACTCGTGTCAGACTACAGGCTTCCACACGTGTCTGGGGGAAGCCTCCCACTCGTGTCAGACTACAGGCTTCCACAAGTGTCTGGGGGAAGCCTCATACTGCGCATGATGCTGTGAGCAGGAGTCTTACGTTATGGAGGTCCAGCCACATGGATATTTAATCCTTCCATCTACAAGAAAGTTAATTTTCCCTGAAATTGGCAATCTGCAGGCTCTCTCCGGCGTCACTACGACTTCCTAACGGGTGGGGACTCACAACGGGTGGGGGCTCACAACGGGTGGGGGCTCACAACGGGTGGGGACTCACAACGGGTGGGACTCACAACGGATGGGACTCACAACAGGCGGGACTCACAACAGGCGGGACTCACAACGGGTGAGGGCAAATATTCAAAGCAATACTAAAAAATTTTTTTTTTCAGCTATTCAGCTCACAGAGCAGTGTTGTCACGTGATATGGCTGTGAGGTGTGTTATATGTGACGTAAGAGAGAGAAGATACGGTGCCCATATCAGAGGTACACACACTCTTGTTAATATGAGGCGTTGACATTATATGACAGGGAAAATATGTCCCACGCATATTATGTTCCACTCTTATCACTAATGTGTGTATTCACCT